CTGAAGGGACAAGGTTTTTTCCTGCGGTGATGCAAATGCTCTAAAATTGGCTGCTGATGGTGGCACGTGTGCTGAATATACCCAACACCACTGAACTGTACTCCTTCACCAGTGAATTGTACGGCAGGTGAACTACCTATCAATAGAGCTGCGGCATTAAAAAAAAACAAACCCAAACCTCAGCCTAAAGACGCTCCACCAAGTGTCATGCCACTGAGGGAAGGGCCGCCAAGCTCTGCAGTGTAGTTTCCAAGGTGCCCAACGCGCCGGGACCCCACTTTCCCCGCACCCCCTTCCTCCAGGCCACTCTCAGCACTTCGCCCTCTTCTCGCGCTTCCCCGGCTGATCAGCTGGACCCAGAGCCCGCGACCCCAGATGTGGGCAGAAGGGACAGCGTGTCTCCACCTTCCGGAACACCCCGCGGGGCAGCAGCAGCAAGAAGAACCTGCGTGGCACGACGGGGGCGGTCTCGGGTCACGCGGGAGAGCGAGGCGACGGAAGAGTGAGGCGGGCGGTCCTGAAGGGGCGCAGGCCAGGGCGCACGGGGCCGCCACGGGAGATCGGGGCGTCCACCGGCCAGGCCGGACTCAGGTCGCGTGCTGGGTGGAGGGCGAAGGCGCGCGGTGTCTCCCGGGCCCGGGGTGCGGCCCACCCGGCCCTGGGACTCTCCGTGAAGGGCCCCGCCGCTCCGGAGCCCGCGGTTGTCATGACGACGCCCACGCCGCGCCGCCGAGATCTTCCCGCGGGCGGGTGGGGCCTCCCGAGGGAAAGGACGGGCTGGGGTGGTGGTGCCCTGCCGTCGATTCCCGAGGCCCTGGGGACGCCCGGCGCCACCTCCTTCCAGCAGCGTCTTGGAGGCTGGACTGAGCCCCCTCCCAGTGGGTCGGGAGCCCAGGTGGGACCGGGGCGGCGGGTTCGTGGCCTCACAGTCCCCGCCCGAGGTCCAGCGAGCAGAGGGAGATGTTGCAGGTCCCCGGAGGCCGCGGGAGGGTGGCACGAGTCGACAGAACCGAGGGTACACTACGGACGAAAACACCGACGGTGGCGGCCCGGATTTGATCCCGCCAGGCCCGGCTGCCCCCGACCTGGGAAAGGAAATCCGCACTCTCCCCCACGCCTCTGGGATATCTCAGCAGCTCCGTCCATATCAGCAGAAACTGGAAGCCACCCAAATGTCCCTCAACAGACAGGGAGGGTCATCCACACCAAGGAGCACTATCCAGTCGTTGAAAGGGAAACGTTTGACACCTGCACAGCCCGGGTGCATCCCAAAGGCATTCTGCAGAAGGAAAGAAGCCAGAAAGGTCTGATGCTGTTTGTGTGACGTTTTCCAAAAGCACAACCGATGGTCAGAGGACAGATCAGAGGCCACCAGGCCCTAAGGGAGAGGAAAATCTCCCCTAAAAGGCCTGTAGGAGGGAGTTTAGGGGATGATGGAAGGTTCTGTATTGTGGCTGTGGTGGTGGCTACACGTGCTAAAATTATAGAACTGTACAGTAAAATAAAAAGCCAGTTTTGTACGATCACTAAAGAAAAAGTTATCAGTGCTGCTCCCAACAGGGCTCTCGGTGGATGCTGACTTTTGAGGTTGGGTGGCATCTGTCGCCAGGACCCACGAGCTCTGGGGGCTGTGCTGCTCTCTCCGTGATGGTGTCCAGTGGGTACTCACTCTTATTTTGGGGTTTATGCAATTATGATGGTCATTTAATTCGATGTGGTAATTGTTTCTTCTGCAGTTTCTGCTCTGCTTTGAATGTTTGTACCTCCTAGAACTCATATGGAACCTAACTGCCTTTGTAACTGTATTAAGAGGTGAGAACTTTAAGAGGTAATTGGGCCATGAGGGTGATTTCGCCGGGCATAGTGTCTCACAATTATAATCCCAGCACTTTGGGAGGCCGAGGCAGGAGGATCACCTGAGGACAGGAGTTCAAGACCTGCCTATAGCAAGATCTCGTTTCTACAAAAAACAAAAACGAAAAACCTAGCCAGGCACGGTGGCACATGCTTGTAGTCCCAACTCAGGAGGCTGAGGTGGGAGGATCACCTGAGTGCAGGAGGTGGTTGCTGCAGTGAGCCACGATCATGTCACTGCACTCTAGTCTGGACAGTAGAGTAAGACCCTGACTCCAAAAAAAAAGGGCAAGTTGGGCTCTCTCTTGCCCTCTGGTATTCCCCTATGTGAAAGCACAAGAAGGTTCTGGCCAGATGCCAACACCATGATGTAGGTCTTTCCAGCCTCTAGAACTGTAAGCCAATGAATTTTTTTTTGAGTTGGAGACTCACTCCGTCACCCAAGCTGGAGTGCAGTGGCACGCTCACGGCTACTCCAGCATCGACCCACTGGGCTCAGGCTATCCTTCCGCCTCAGCCTTCCAAGCAGCCGGAACTACAGGTGTGCACTGCCACACCTGGCTAAGTTTTTTATTTATTGTAGAGATAAGGTCTCGCCAAGTTGCCCAGGCTGGTCTCGAACCCACGGGCTCAGGCAATCCTTTCACCTTGGCTTCCCAAAGTGCTGGGATTACAGGCTTGAGCCACCATGCCCAGCAAAGCCAATTAATTTCTATTAGTTGGTGTTTTTGATAGTAGCACATGAGTTAACACAGTTTTTAAAATAGTCTCTGAGAGACCTTAAAGATTCAGTTGTTTTGGCCAGGCATGGTGTGCTTATGCCTGTAATCCCAGCATTTTGGAAGTCCGAGGCAGGAAGATTGCTTGTGTCCAGGAGTTTGAGACCAGTCTGGGTAACACAGTGAGACCTCCGCTCTATAAAAAAATTTTAAAAATTAGCTACTTGGGCAGCTGAGGTGACAGGATCACGAGTCTGGGGGGTTGAGGCTGCGGTAAACCAGGATTGCCATTGCACTGCAGCCTGGGTGACAGTGAAACTCCTGACTCAAAAATAAATTGTCTCTAGGTGTGATTTATAAGTTGGACAACAGAAGTGGACTCTTAGGGCTAGAAGAGACTACAGAGGCCACACACCCAAGATTTCACACACAAACTAAGGCTCAGAGGGTTTAATGGCCAAGCCAGCTACCCGTGGAGTACATCAAACCTTCAATGAGTGACTGCTTGGTGCAGGAGCCGACTAAGCACTGGCACACACGGGCTCAGGTGCCCCCACCCCATCCAGGACACCCCTCATACCATTGCAGGTGCCCCGCCATCCCAAGGTACATTCCTCATCCCATCCCAGATACCTTACCTTTCTAATCCATGCGTTTCTACTTCCCATGCTGCCTGAACCTGGCCAAGTATGGATTCCAGCCAAATGGTCCTGGAGCCTTTAAAAACAATGGGTCATTTCCCTACTGCCTTGTGTTGCTTGGTGCAGGGCCTGGTACGCCTTCCTGGGAAGTTCTCTGTGGCCACAGGTCTCCCGATGGACCTCCAGGCCGCTGTTAGTTGTGGCTCTTCCTTCAGGCCTCTCTTCCCCACCTCTGCTCCACCCACGTGAACCACTCACAGCACCTTTGCACCCTGCAGCCTCTCCTCCACTGCCAAGTCTCCCCGGCTCCCAGGAAATTCTGGCAGGACACCAGTGCTACCACAAGGTCCTGTGCTTAATTTTGATTTGTGATTGTCATGGGTCCTCTGTCCTACACTAGATTAAAAGGTCGAGTCAGGCTCCAGCTGGTACTGGGCTCCATGCCTTGCTGGCAGGAGGGGCTGCCGCCAGCTCCACAATAGAATCGGGAGCCAACAAGCCAGGCCACGCCAAGGCCAGAGCCTGGGAATCAGCTCAGTGTTGTTCTGGTTAGTCAGGGCAGAGCCTCACAAGGTCCTGGGGGCCAACTTGCCTGAAAAACAAGGCTGAATACTCAGGTTTTAACTTCTTGGACAGTAAGAGGTATGATCCCTCCTCTTCCAGGTCACCCAGGACATGAGGGCACCCCCGGGCTATGCCCCCACCTCACTTGTGCTGTGGCGGTAATGGTTGTGGGGCCCCCTGGGCTCTGACCAGGAACTTGTCCTAGAGGGGCAGGGGACCACGGATAGCTGTCAAGACTGGGTTGAGAGTGGATCCCAGGCTTCTCCTGGGGAGGACCTTGCTGGCCCAAGGCTTCAGGGTCCTTGAGGAGGCAAGGGAAAGGAGAGGAGTCTGCACATAGGTGGAGTGTGGAGAGGTGTGATTGAGGTCTGGGTCTCAAGTATCCAGGCCCACCCAGCTTTGCATGTGCCTCCCCTGCAGCTGCCCTCGGTTCCCCCTCCAGGCATTTGAGGCCCAGACCCAGTACTCCTGGGGCCTGGGACCTACTGCTGCAGGAGGACAGGGTCACAGCCCTGGAGTAGGCCTCATCAATGAGACCACCCTCCAGGCTGCCTTGCAATTGTGACAGATGGAGGTAGTTCCCAGCTCTGTCCTGTAGATTTCCCACGAAGCTAGTTGGTAGAGAGCCCCCTCCTGACACACACACACATAGCAGGCGTAGTGACCTGCTCTTGTGGGTGGCTTCATGGCAGCACTTCCCAAAACAAGACTTCCTGAAAACCCAGATTTCCAGCTTCTCTTGAAAGATCCTGAACCCCTGCAATACTGGGCTGGTGTCCCACAGCACCCAAGGGCACAGGGTGTGGAGCTGCCCCCTCAGGTGGTACCTGCCTGGTTTGTTCCCGGGACATCGGGCCTCCCACCTGGGCATCAGGACTCCAAACCCGCTGCCCTCTCTCACTTCGATTGCCTGCCAGCTTCCCTTGAGGGGGACATGGCCAGAGCACCATCCTGGCCCTCATGGAGAGCAGCTGCCCACAGGTGACCATCGGGATCCAGGCCACAGCTGTGGCTGCCTCCTGAGCATTGCCTGGCAAGGCCCAGAATCTCCACCTCAGGTGTCCATCACCTGGTCCCTGGTTGGCCCAGGCAGGTGCCCCTAGGGAGTGTCCCTGATTTCTGTCAGGGTCACCAGGAGGGGAAGGTCACACTCATCCCAGCCTGTGCTCCCACAGAGGGAGCCAACCATGGTGCCCACCACATCCAAGTCCACGAGGCAGAAGGCTGTGCAGGTCAACTTTAATACAGGCCGGCCCGTCTGGGGGCTAAGGAGGCAGCTCTGCTTGTGTCCTTGGTGGCCCCCAGGGCCTCTGCCCACTTGCTTCTCACAGATGGGGGAATCCTGTCGAGACTGTTAATGACAAAATCAGCCCCGTGCACGAGAAGTCATTCCACGCTCTGTGGCCTCCTGTCTTGGCTGCTGGCAGCTCCAGAGCTGGCCGGTCATGAGCATCCCAGGTCTCCACAGGTGCATGAGCTGCAGGGACCCCCACGGGCAAACTTCAGGGGCTGCACATGCCAGGGCAGGGTCTCGCCACCACCTTCCAGATGTCCTCTCTCAGCAGGACCAAGCCACTGTGTCAGACCCTGGGTGGCAGGGTGAAGTCAGGGCTCCTGGAGTGTCATTCCCCCAGTCCCACATACCCAAACTGGGGCTGGAGCTTGGGGCGCTAAGGCAGAGGCACTGAGAGGCTCAGCAAATGCCGCCTCCTGGGGTTTCCATCCCCAACCTACATGGAAACTGAGGCATGTAAGGAAGCCAGGCCACGGGAAGGACCCCTTAAAGGAAGTCACCACCAGCTAGTGGGAACAGCAAGGACATAACAGGAAGTGTGGGGACCCTAAGGTCTGATGGCGCCTTCCCCACAGAAGCGCGGCTGCACAGGGCTGGGGACAGCAGATGAAGAGCACCAGGAGCATCAGGTTGGGCCACGGCCTCCGCAGGAACCACAACCCGTAGAGGCTGGGCTCGGCTGAGAGTTTGAATGTTGCCGTTTAATCCAGAAATGAGAGCAAGACAGCAGCGCCAAGAGCAATCAGACTTTACACTGTGAGGGAGGCGCTGTCCTCCCGATGTGCACGAGCCTGTGTGCACCGTGGCTCTGCACAGCACCGTCATGCTGACCTCCAGGGAGCTCGGTCGGAGCTGGCCTCAACTCAAACCTTCTGTGGGCCACAGTCCTTGAGGAATCCCTGCGAGTCCCGCAAGAGAAGGTGAGTTACGAAGCTGCCACCAGGTCTGCTTGCCTGGGCCTAGCCTTGACAGGGACTTTGTCTGTGGAGAAAACAGAAATGTCTATAATGTGCAGAAGACCGCACAGGCAGAAACCAACAGAGGAAGAGGGTGCAGAGACAGCAAGAAGCCAGGTGCCAGCGGCGTCCACTGTGGAAGAGCATGCCCAGTTCTGGGGGAGGCAAGGTACCAACATGAAGGGGCCGACAGACGGGTTGGGAACATGGAACAGTGGCCAGGGAAGCACAGCTCCTCCTGACGGGACCCAGTGAGAACTCCAAAGATCAAGAAAGGAAGAAAAAACATGGATGGATTATAAAAAGAAAAATCAGGTTCCCAAAAGGAATTTTTTGAGAGCCCGTGTTAAATGACACCGTGGGGAACAGTCATACCAGCCCATGGCATTTCAGGTGACTGCTCCTGACTGACCCTGGGAAAGAGCTTGTGCAGCTAAAAAAGCCTTTTCCCAGTTCTAACGTCTGGATATGCCTCTGTGGATGGGGTAGGGCTCCCCTACGAGGCTACCCAAGCCCCTTGGAAGTCAGGTCCACCATGGAGGCTGGGCAGTCACACTACCCTGGCCGCACAGGGCTTGCCTACCACCTGAGAAAGGCCGGGACCGACCTCTGCCAAGTGGGAAGGGAAGGGCCAGGAGTGTTTTGTCTTATTCCCTTCCAGAATCCACTGTTCTCTTGTGAAGTCCAACACACTCAAAAGGATAAAGCATGAGATACCTGGGTTCTTCTCAGGTAGGGGCTCTGAAGGAACCTCTGGCAGCTCTATTTGTTCCTGCAAGCAAAGGCATAACATGGTTGGTTGGGCCCACCCACTGAATGTCTGGTCCCCCTTGGAGATGAATCCTGTTAATCAGCTGCTTTTAGCAGGATTGAAAATGGAACAAGAATCCTCCAGCCCAAATGACCTGAACCTGCATCTTCCCTGGCTTCTGGCACCTTCTGAGACTCCAGTCACCCCAGGTGGAGAGGCAGACACTATTGCAAAGGTTTCCCCCAACAGCCCCCAGGACTCAGAGGGGCTGTAACAATGGCTAATTCCTAGGTTTCTTCCAGAGACCCTGGCTCACAAAGTCAGGGCTATGCCAGGATGTGGGTGTGACACAGACACCAGGACACTCTGGCATCCACAACCCTGGGGGCAGGGTCATGGTGGCGTGCTATCCCAGCCTGCCACCTGCCTCAGTTAACACATGGTGTTTCCACCCCCAGTTGGCCTTCCCTGGCAGCCCACGAGGACTCGGGACCTCAGAAGGAAGTAGCCTCAATAGGCAGGTGGACGCAGAGATCCATGGCAGAGCCAGCGTGCGTGCAGCTGGCAGCAGGGGGAGGTACTTCTCCTGGCCAACCTGCAGGGCTGGGGCAGAGGCCAGTTCTGGAGAACAGCGAAGTGGCAAACTGAGGCAGCGGCCCAGAGGGATGGAGAAACCGTCCGTCAGGGAGCAAACACAGACCTAGGGCCTGTACCTGAGAGCGTCAGCCTCGGGCACACAGGTGAGGCCTGTGCGGCAGGCGAGTCCAGCCATGGGTGGAGAAAGAAAACCCATGGATTAGGAGTCATGGAAGTGCCAGTGGGGAAAGAAGGGGCTGAGGGGCCATGGTTGGCCAAAGGGCGTCTCCTGTCCAGGTGCAACAGTCACAACAGCCTGCCCACACCACTGGGTGATCAACCCCGAAGACCCAGTCATTTTAGGGAGGAAAACCAGTTGCAAACCTGACTGTGGGTTTCACTCAGGTGAAACACCACACCTGGGGCCCATCGCAGGCAGAGCCTCCTGGTGGAGGGTCTTATCACCTGAGGACTATACTCAGTCCTGGGGGTCCCATACCTGAGTGTTGTACCCAGTCCTGGGGGTCCTATTACCTGAGTGATTGCGCTCAGCTCCTCCAGGATGGCATCTTCGTCCTCCTGAGTGAAGCTTCCTGCCAGCAGCTCATCTATTTGCTGCAAAAGGAGAAGCATCCGTGAGAGAAGGGTGGGCTGCTGCGGACAGACAGCGGCTCCTTGCAGAGGAAGGCTGCCTGTGGCTGTGTCTCCCCATCTGAGAGAAGGCGGTCACGCGGACATTCACACGGTTGGCAACTACCCCGTCTGGGGAGGCGGGGCCAGGGAGGGCATCACCTACCCGCTGGTACTCCACAGCCTCCTGGGTCTCGTCCAGGATCCTCTCCACTTCTTCTATGGACATCACCTAAAGGTGACAGTGACAAGTGTTGATGCCTGTCAGTGAGGTGATCTCAGATTCTGATGAAGGCCACCTAGGCTCTCAGGGTGCAGGCCTTGCACACACACACACACACACACACACACACACACACACACACACACACGGTGTGCCACAAAAATGAATGCTAGCATCACCATGTGGCAGACAGGAGAGTCAAAGAAAATGGCAGGCTGGGCTTGGTGGGTCAGCCTGCAATCCCAG